TATATTTTTAGAATGATGGCAGTATATTCAAGTCAAACTCTTCCTGTACCTGTTTGACATTTCTTAACCGAGCGATATAATAGTCTAACCTGTTTTTTTTTGTCTATCTGTTCCAATCAGCTGCCAAACCTAATAAACATTCACATATTAAATGCACACAGAAATGCTCAAACATTCAACTTTCCTTATACAGATGCTATGTTCACCAGACCACAGTTGCTTAATGCCAGGTGTAAATGGGCTCAGTGTTGTCTTAACCCTGAAGGAAAGAAACGTCGGTACAGTTGAAGTCAGTGGTTCAACTACTGCAAACCGAAAACTCAAACTCAAGTCTGAAGTTTTAGTGCTGTATCTGTCTTTTTATGAACACAGCCTTATAACCTTTTTTTTTTTTTCTCTATCCATTCCTCATCTTTCTGCTTGAGCAATGTAACAATTTCCCCTTCAGCTGCATGTTTGGTTTGGACTTTGAAGAAACAAACTCTAATGTTTGCTCAGTCTGGTGACCTCCTCACCTGACACACTTCTCACTTATCTTTATCTCCACCTCAAACACACACACACACATTCACACACACTCACACACACACACACACACACACACACACACACACACACACACACACACACTTATACTAGTTTTTACCAAGTTGTTGTGCTTGTCTGGAAAGTTGATACTTGGAAAGAAATGTACCATTCAGCCAAAACAGTTCAAACTGTCCGAATGGGCAGACAATCAAGTTGCTGCTCTGATAATCCAGTGCGATTTGTTCTTTATCTAAGGACAAAAGTTTTATTTTTGGACTCAACTCGTAAGCTACCTCTAATAAAGATGATTTTTTTTTCGCCCATTGCCCGGCAGTTTTCTGGCTCCCTACCACCGTCTTCCTTATATTTCTTTCTGCTAGTGTCTTCCTTAACACATCCTACTGGGGATCAGAGGAAGCTTTTTACCTTTCTGTTATTATTGTACAGTTTAAAATGAAGTACAGCTCATACGCCAGTCACTAATCATTGGTTAGGGAAAATGTTAATCTTTCCCTTAAAGAAAAGAAGGCAACATCACACTGAGTAGTTCATTCTTGTCATTCAGTCTGAATATCAAGCAGCTGCAACTCTTCACCGAGCCCTCTTTGCTGGCTCTTCGTCCCAAGTTGTCAGCATTATTTAACCAGGCTCAGGAACTTGGTCTTTTACTAATTTTCTAACACCAGAGATAGTAGAGCAGTAATTTATAAATCAAGAGAAAACATGAATTTTTTTGTGTTTTGGCCCACTCCCAGTTTCTGTAAGAGAATTAAACCTGGCAAAGCAGTGCAGCCTTCATTCAGCGAGGAAGCGAGTAATCAGTAGAAATGATCGCAGTTTAAACAAGTAACTCAATATCAAAACAGGAGGGACAGAAAAGAAGTCCACAATGACTCTTTATTGCTGTTTGACATACAAACAGCACACTGTGGATGGTTGATGTATCTTGGCGCAGTCTTTGGATTTGTTGGCTGGCTGAGTGACTGACCGCCCTTTGGCTGCGAGAGGGTGTCAGTGTGGTTGACTAGCAAACCGCTCTGCCTCCAGGCTGCTCCTGCAGACCTGTGGTACTCAGCTGAATGATGGATCGGGTGCAAAGCCTGTATGTCCCACCCCGCGGTCACCCCTAATGAAAACCAGGCATGAGGAGGCAGCTGCTTTCACTGCCTGGATCTCTTACTGTTGCCTATAGGAAACTGGGAATCAATGTCATGTCACGCTGCAATTAGGGTATGTCGGGGGCTAATCCACCATAGTGGTAGCATAGTTGTAGCATGTAACTACCCCTGAAACCACAATTTGTCATTTCTACATTTCTGTTTGTGTACGGATTTAACAAACGAGACAGAGTATATTAATTAATACATATATAAATGAATGTTAATAAGTGAGCTTTAGCAGTGTTGATATGTCTAGCTATTCTACTACTAGCTACTCACATTGACATTGACAGGACATTGATATCTACCTTGTTCAGTTCAATCAGTTTATTTTCTAAAATGTTAAACTGCTGACTTACAGGGAGGGAAGTTTTAAAAAAAGGATAAGTTTCTGTTCGTTTCTTTCTATTTCTCACTAGCTTCCTCTTTCTCTTTACTTCTGTTCTAGCTCTACTTATCCATCACTTTTGTTTCCCTCATTTTAAAAAAAGGATCTTCTAAGTTATTTCATGTCTTTTTTTTTGGTTTATAATTGAACTTTTGCAAGATTTTACAAAGTAATTTGTCAGTGCACTACATTTTCTACACATCTGCAGGTAGCCTTGTCAGTGTGGCTGCTGAGGAACGATGGTAGCGCTTTGTGGGCCCTATCTTGCCGATCTGAGTATCAAACGCAAAACGCAAGTAGCTTTGTGGGTGGATCTCGGGCGCTGTTGCTTTTATGCCGGCAGGATATGGGTTGGTCTGAAGTAGCTACATTAGTCATAGGTGTGGTTTGGGCGTAACGTGCAATAAACCAATCAGAGCGTCATCTCACATTCCCTTTAAAAGCAGGCGCGCTTGTTCCATGGCGGATTGCTATTATAACGGCGGATTGACCAGGCGCACGCCAGGAGCGGTTCACAGCCGAGGAGACCGACGTTCTCGTCAGGGCCGTGAAATACCAAGAAGTGACATTATTGACATGAAATAAATGTAACACAGCCATACAATAAATCCAAACAATGTAACGCAGCTTCGCAGGAAGAAGACCCTGGCCTCGGGAGCAGTGCGCACGGGCCGAGCAGTGCGCAAGGGCCAGCTGAGGAGGGAGCAGCGCAAACACCAAGGTGCAGAGGATCCAGACCCGCTACACGCCGGAGGACCACCCATTCCTGCAGCAAACCGGGTTTGACATGCTGGAGCGGGAGCTGTCCGGGATGCGGCAAAGTATTAATGCCCGTCTTGACCGGGTGGCGATGTTGCTGCTTCCTCTTAGGCGCATCCCCTCAAGTCTGCGCCCTTAAAATAGCATCTGAATAAGCGCCACTGACTTTAGACTAGGTTTTTCCTGGTCTGTGGCGGAATTGTTTTCTGAAACAGCAAAATAGCACCAGGGAACGTTTGCGCCGGAACACGCCTCCTCTTTTCGCTGAACCGCCCCCCGGAGCGCAAGTTCCTCTCTAAATATCGGCGTCGGCCAGTGAAAAACCCATTTCTGTCAACCACTATTTAAAATCATAGCAGGGGATGCGGGCAGGTAGACTTGACAGCTGTAGACTAAATAAAACTTGTGAAAGAAGAAGAAAGGCAGACAGATCATGCAATGAATAAATCAGGACCCATGTCCCTGCTTTGTATCATTTTCTGGTGCTCTACAATATATCAGTCTGGCATTGGTCTCTTTTGATCTGGACCTCTGCTGTTGTCAGATAGTAAAATGTAAGAACTAAAAAGACTTAAGTGATAATAGTCTACATACATGTCTTAAGGGAAATATTATTATTGAGATAACAGGCTGGCTTACCATTGGATGGGTGTGCAATGAATGCGGGCCACATCTTCTATAAATGTTCCGGACTGTGATATGATACACATCTTTACTTTAGTATTCACACTTATCATAGCAATCATGTTATCTGCAGCCATGTTTTTAAAATTGTGCTGCATGTACACCAGCTGTAATGAATTCTTGAGAGAGAGTATTCCCCTGACCCAGTATAAACACAGACAGGAGTGAAAACTCTTTGAGAGTTTGACTCATAGCAGGCTCCTCCTCTGTGTATTTTTATAAAGCTATAAAGAACACCATGTAGAGAAAGCGCACAAGTCAGCCATTATCCCTGGACCGCTCTCGACTTGGCCACGTTCCCATAGAAAACTCCAGCTTTGTTCACTTCTTAACTCTCTCTCTCCTCTTATCCCTCTCCATCTCCTCAGTCTATCGCTCTCCTGGTATGCAGTGTCATTACTATGGTATTCTATGGTCCTTGTTGCAGCCACAGCTCAACATAGTGTTATTTTTCTCTTTGGGAAGTAGCACACACACAGCCTTCAGCATGTCAGCACAGCTACCACAGAACATTAGAAAACCCTCTCATCACCACTACTACAGAAAGACTTAAAGCACCCCAGTTTTGAGGTTAATTAACTTAAAGATGTGCACTGAACATGGAATTAATTCACATTGAAACAATATTTTTCAATTTGCTCCACATTGATTAATTCCAAGTAATGTTTTTAATATTAAAAATTGCCAGAGATGATTTGAAAATGAAATATTGGTTTTGGACCATCCAAGGTTTATGGGCGGATACTTTTTTCTTTAAATACTAAAATATTCCATCATTCTTTCACCTGTTCTTTGACCCTTGTCCGTTAAATTGTGGTGTTCCTCAAGGGTCCAATCTTGGTCCGTTGTTGTTTTCAGTTGACAAGTTTCCACTCAGGTGATACTAAACCATGATATCCTCTTCTGTTGCTATGCAGATGACACATTTTGTTCTACTACAATCCAAAATAATTTAGCAATGAGCTATCTTCTTCCCTGCTTTTCAAGGCGTTAAATGTCCTTGTGCCAAAATATCTCACTGATTTGCTGACTCTTTACAGGCCCGTGCATCCCCATAGATGCATGTGCTCAGCTGGTTAGCCCTAGTTCCTGGCTAAAGACTAAAATTACCAGCTTTTTCAATTCAAGTCCTCAGACTATGATCAGTGAGATAGGAAATCTTGTTACTTAAAACAGTATTTTTTTTCCCTTGTAACTTTGTAAAGAAAGATGCTTTATAATTATTCCTAATAATAGCAGAGTAGGATTTTGTTTTTCCAGTTGGTTGCTGAATTTTTCAGCACATATATAGTCTTTTTAAGGTGTTTTTTATTGGGTCCTTGTTGTTTTTTTGTTTGCAGCTATAATTCTGTACATTTGGTAAGAAAACTGCAGTTAAAAAGCTTAGTGGTGTATTTGTAGCCAACTGCATATTTTGTTAAACATTAAACATAGAAGAAATGTGTCTAACAGTATCTGTGTGTGTGTCTCATTTCTTGCAGGTGGCCTACCTGGGTAAGGTGACTATATCGGGGACCCAGTTCCTGTCTGGCTGCACAGAGTCGGCTGTGGTGGGTCTAGTGGAGCATCGTGCCCTGGCCCAGCTACAGGGCACGTGCCCCGCAGGCAACTCTCTGCTGGAGATTCGGCCCTTCCAGGTGCGTCTTCACCACCTGGACGAACACGGTGAGGCTTCATTAACCATGGACACCTACCAGGTGGCGCGGATTGCCTACTGCACAGCTGACCACAGCATCAGACCCAACGTATTTGCTTGGATCTACCGGGAGATCAACGATGACCTGTCCTTCCAGATGGACTGCCACGCTGTGGAGTGTGAGAACAAGCTGGAGGCAAAGAAGCTGGCTCACTCAATGATGGAGGCTTTCCGCAAGACTTTCCACAGCATGCGCAGTGATGGCCGCATCCACAAGAGTGGCTCATCAGACGACTTTGCTGAGGACTCATCCACCCCTGAAGACTCGACCCCAGACGATGGTTGAATTGAAACTCACCTAAACTCCTGATCCCCATCCTAACAAAGCAAGGGGTGACTGGAAGGATGGACCGATTACCTGCTCTCCCTCATTCTCCCCTACTATCACTTTCTGTTATCAATTTGGAACAAAATTAACTGACCCTGTGAACCAACACGCCCAGGATAATGAAGTAGCTTTTAAATACTGTAAAGATGAAAAAGGAGTTACAAGAGATCTACATTTATCATACAGGAATAGCAAAGTGCTGCCACTTTGAATAAATGGCCCTCAAAGACCCTTTGGGGGCCTTTCAAGCACCTCGGTAAACGCCCTCAAGAGATTGACTCAACATTTCCATTTTCAACCACTGTCACTCCTGCACCCAGCGGAGACACTGTTTGTGGTTCTTAAGCTTTTTCATTTAGGAAACAACAAACTTAAGTCCCTGTTCTTCTGACCCCAGCTCATGACAACCTATTGCTACTCTTGCCATGTAGGGACCCAGCAGAAATAGGCCTGTGACCTATTCTGGGTCCCGACCCAGAGTTTATGAGACTGTTGGAGCACATAAATTCTTTAAATGTTTAATTATGTGGATCTCTGTTATAATGCCTTTGACCTTGGTAATAGCAAATGAGGATGTGAAAGAAAAGATAAGCCTTTAAGCACTATTCATATCATCACTATGGTACCTTAGTCCATCCCCAAAATTGTTTGCTGTCATGTGGACGACGGAGCCAGAGCTTCTACCACTGTCTCCGTTTAATAGGTACTTAAAGATTCAAAGTATGTGTAAGGCACCTGGGAGAATATAGGTGCTAAATAATTGTTACATTTTAGAAGTTCTCACTGGGCTGAAAGCCCGGACCTGTCTGCGACACCTTAATCATCCACATCTGACTTCTGTTTTGAGTATACCAAAATTCAGGCTGGATTTTGCCTGTCAGATTATGTGCCTCACTTTCCTCTCACATTAGTTTGTTCTCTTACCCAGGTCCCAGTGTGTATGTGTGGCCATCTGTGTGCGTGCCAACGTTTTTTGTTTTTTTCTGCGTGTGTAGGTGTAATTGCTTACTTCTGTACTTTGTGTATATGAATGTACACGTGAGTGCTTGCATCTCTGTGTGTGAAAGAGAGAAGAGAAAGAAGATTAAGGAGGGATATTGTATGAATAGCCCGAAGGGAGGACTTCTCATCACCCCGGAAGCATCCATTTTTGATGCTTAAGGAGGCGTTTTAAAATCTGACATGGTACTGTGACCATTTGCCACGTTTTCTTAGTTTTATCTTGTATGAAATGAAAACATGAGAATGAGAGTCAGGATTTGCCAGTCACTGAGGTTGTAGGACCCTAAAATACAGCTGTCCAAGATACAACTGACACCTCCTGGCCTCTGCTTGAATGTATGATGAGTCCAACGTGCTGTGAGCACCTCGCACCATCTTCAGTCACTTCAGTCTCCCATAATCTCCTCATGCTATCACAGACAGCTGTGAGGAACAGTCAGTGACCGGTTTCACTCTGCTGCCCTGCGTCGCCTCTCTGAGTGACCGAGGTACCGTTGTGGGGCAAAAGCTCATCAGAGCTCCACACCACTTTCTTCTTTTCTAACTGGACTGTATTGAACAGACTGGATGCTATCGGTGGAAATCGGTCAGTGACTCAAACAGAATGACCAGGTGGCACTTACACACACACACACACACTCAAATATACACACCTGCATACATTTATACATATGTACACATACATTGTATTTGAATCTTGCTCAATAAGCTTATGTAAATACAAATGTATCACTTTCCAAATATTACAACATAAATGTTGATAGCTATTTTAAATAATAAAAAAAATGTTGAGAACCATCGTACGATACAGAAACAGTGTTATAAAGCCTACTGTGAATAATAAGTGGAGAGCCTGATAGCGGTGGCTGTGTGTGTGTGCATGTGTGTGTGTGTGTGTGTGTGTGTGTGTGTGTGTGTGTGTTTGGAAGGTATTGTATGTGGTGGGAAGTGTGGTGAGGAGTATGTATGGACAGGCCAGAGGGCGGAGAATGTTTATAAAGCTGTAGATTACTGTGTCATGTCTGTCTGAAAGCTCAGACGCGCTTTAAATGTTTGACAAATGTTACCTTAAGTGTTTTCTATACAGTGTTTGCAAAGATCAAGAAACAATTGCATATAAAGTATTTACCAAGACCAAGCGTGTGATGGCGTGGTCTGTTTTGTCTCCAGTGCACATCTCCTGTCTCCTCCGTCATTCATTCTCCGCTGTCACCAGCTCCTGGCCAGGATAAGTTCTTATTTTTCAAACTCTGCTTGATTTTAACTTACTGGATTCCCTGCAGTGGCTGCGTGTGGGAGGATAAATACAAAGCATGTTCAGTTTCAGAACAAACAGAATGGGTAACCAGATGATGCTCTGACAGGCTGCCAGGACACATGTAAAGCATAACCTTACAGTCGGTTTATCCTCCACACACACATGTTGCTGCATACTGGAACTTTCCTTAAACTACTCAAGGTATAACATCTGTTTTGGTGTGGCGTGTGTGCTTTTAACAAATGTTTGGATGTGACTTACAGCCACACTCTAACTCAAAAGCTATTCACTCTCTCTTTTCATAGGATCATAAATGCCAAGTGAAGGTGGGGTTGAAATATTTGACTTTCAGGCTGAAATGTGACCAGGTTTGAGCGTCTCACACTTTTAAGTACAATCACTCCTCCACTTGCGTGTGGTCACGATGCCCTGAACAAACTCATAAACATAACTTTATGGTATTTCCAAGAATGTTTCAGGTTTAAGTGTGACACTGCCTTTGTCCTTCCTCTGAAGGAGATTTTTACTTTCCCATTCTTCACATTCCTCTGACTTCTAAGATCTTTCTTTTATTGTGTTGTTGTGCTTTGGCCTCTCATCTGCCAGAGTGTGGCAGCCTCTTTTCTCTTCAAAGTGCCCACATCTATAACAAGATAACTAGCTGCTCTCTGCTTCTGTGGCTGGCGATCATTTTGCAGCTTAAGAGCTGCAGAGAATTGGAGGCAAAATGGATGCTGTGAAGAATGTTAATGTGCGTTGAATGAGAATACTGCCTCCCTCTGGCAAGAAGAGCTACATCCTCTTTGCTTTGAACATTTTTTCAAAGAGGTCTTTTTGTGTTGTCATAACCAGTCCACCTCCTCATGATGATAATCATTGCTTTGTATGTAGCAGCAGGGAAACAGATTGTCTTGCTGTTTCATCATTGGACATAAATTGCACACTGATGGATTTCCTGCACCAAATGGATATTAATGTGCATTGGGCAGGCATTTCCTAATTTCATAATGCTCTGTTATTGAACAGAACTGTAAGTCTTGAACTGTCATCCACAATCACTTGAGACCATTTGACCACAATACTGATAATCTCTGCACTAGAAGTTTTATAACACAATGTCAACCTTTTGTCCCTGTCTCTTCCACCTCACTGTACACAAGCTTCACTGTTTAGATGCCTCTTTGTCTTGAATCTCTGCTGAGAGTACACTCTCCGATTGCTCTCCACTGTGCTCTTGTGTCTGTCTGACCCACTTCCAGCAGTGCATCAGCACAGAGGGGCCCTGTGGGGCCCAGAAAGAGGCCACCCCGGCAGCCTGCTTCTCTGCTCCACTGAGGCATCAGTCAGTCAGTCAGTCAGTTCACAATACCACTCTGTTACTGCTCCAGCTGGCCGCTCTTCCTCCTCCAAGTCCCAGAACCGCCTGTCTATCCACCGCCAAGGACCCACACGCTTGAGGTCTGGTTGGGGCGGGGACTGGTGCCAATACTGGCTTTTGATCAGACTCCTCTTATTCGCTCGCTATCTCTGCTTTTCTCTCTTTTTCTGTCTGTCGTTGCTCCCCAAGCAGGGGGCCCAGGCCTCTTGGAGAGAGAGAGAGAGGTGGACTAAACATATGTGTGTAACATATGTGTGAAATGGACCAGGAACTGTACACATTCTTTCTGGCTTGACTGATAAAGCACTTTACATTGCATAAGATGCAAATAGGTTCAACATGGCGAAACAATATTTTATGTGTTAAACATTCAAAAAGTGGTAAACTAAAGTAAGACTGCACTGCTAATTCAGTGCAAGCATTTTAATTGTGCGCATGAAAAGGACAGTCTTTCACTTTTAAAGTTTCAGCTTGGTATTTTATCATCATGATGTTAGGAAACTTTTGAACAGTTTGAACCATTATATTAAAAGCACTATAAACTTGAACTGAACTTGAAATAAACGTTTGTAAACAATTATTGTCAAAAGATGACAAAAGCATATTGTTATGAAAGAAAGAAAAAAGCAAAATTGAAGAATAATATGGGTTGTGCTTTGGTTACTAATATTCTAATAATTCCACAATAATCTCCTTGGAAGTTTTCTGGAAGGATTTATGTAGTATTGTGCTTGTTATGGAATTTCCTTGAAAGAATTGTCCTATTTGTACCCAAGTAAACATTTATTCATTGTTTATTTATTATTAAAATATTCTTTGTATATGTTCAATTATAAATTTCACATTTCTGTCTGTCTCTATTTCCCTATAATTAGTCAAACAAATACAGACATATAAGTAATAATAAAGTATTACTGTGATATGAAAATAAAATTAGCTTAAAATCTACAGTACTGAAGGTAATGTATCCTCCAGACCAGAGCATGAATAATGAAGAGGACAGTCTCAGTTAGATTCTTTCTCTCTGACACACAAACCATTTCCTCTGATCATGTCCAGATCCCCTATGATCCCTCCTGTTGGACTGGTCCCTGAAGCATTCATATGATTTAAGATTCCTGTCGTAATGAAATGTTGACTGGAATGAAGAAGGGGGGCAGAGGGGGGTCTGCGCCTGCCCATCACAAGACTCCTGAGTCTCTGTTAGCCTAAGCCCTGCGGATTCAGCGCACATCTCTGTTGTAATACACTTACAGATGAGATGCTGCCCTGAATCCCTGGGGGACAGGAAACGTCTGGACTGAGATCCAAGAGGAGCTGTTTTGTCAGGAATAAGGGATAAAAGTCTGAGAGAACAACAAGCTAAAACAGATCCTGGAGGACTAATGTCTGTGGCTCTGTCTGCAAAGTCCTTCTGTGCACTATTTTGAAGCTATTCAAAGTGTGTTAACTGCACACCGGCTACTGTTCAGAGTTTAATGCAAGTAAACATTAGGTAGGTAAACAAATAGCTGAAGATGGCCTGTTTTAATGGTTTCTAACATGATTAAAACATGTTTTATATGTGAAAATATCCCACTTTTTATGAATCATTGTGTCTTTTCAGATAACTGAATGATGGGTCTAGTAAGCCAACTATGTGGTGGAAACGCTACACTGATGAACTGATATTTGACAAACAACATGTGAGTCCAAAATGCACATGCTTCGAGGTTCAGTGTTGTGTTTTTTACATTAGAGAAATAGTTTGGCCATTCGGGAAACAGTCTTACTTACTTTTTTGCGAGAATTAGATGGGATGATTGATTGAAAGTGAATAAACATATTTCCCAAAATGTCTATAAGGTATTCCAAAACTAAGTTAATGTAGAAGTATGTTTAGTTTTCCTATGTTTCAATACTTAATGAAGCAGTTTCAGTTTTAGATTTTATGTAATTTATCCCTCTCTTGTGTACTGGTGAGCAGCACATACTGTATTTGTCTTTTGCTTTATCGTCGGGCTGCATGCTGCTTATAGACAAAAACAGACTTGGACAGTTCAATGCCAAAGGAAGAAGGGAGTCGTAGGAAATAAGCAGTGAGGAGATGTAGAAGATAGTAGAGGAAAGTGGAGAGGAATGCATGTGGAGAAAAAAAATAGGATGAATAGGTGACAGGAGTGAAGAGACACAGCTCATCTGGTTGGGCATCTTGCACCCAGATGTTGAGGGAAGAGTTGGGTAATCTCCCTGTCACATCCTGCTGGTTGGGCCAAAATAAAAGCTCAGAAAATAAACAACTGACCAAACTGTCTCATTGCTTATGAATGAGGTAATTGACACAAATAGATAGATGCCTGAAAAGGAAAAATACTTTTTCATTAATAGTCTAAATATTACTCATGACTAGACCTCATTCAGCTGATGTTACCTTCTTTGTCCACTAGGTGTCAGCATAGCTCAGCATTTAAAAGGCTCTCTATATTGTTTGGAGAAAGGATTGACTTCAGTGAGATTGCAATAATGGGATTGTGCTGATTAGAACACTTTTTGCAAAAAAGTCTGTTTAACTGTTGAATTGATTATAGTTGGCAACCTAGCCTATACTTTAAAGAGAGATCTGTATTTATATTGCTATGAGTATAAAACAGACGGGGGCATTGGAATAAAAAGGTTGTAAATTTCTCTCTCTCTCTCTCTCTCTCTCTCTCTCTCTCTCTCTCTCTCTCTCTTCAAGCTTTTTACAATGTGACCTCTCAAAGTGGGAGAACTGAAATGACTAAAACTTTTGAAATTACTGAGATAAGACAGACATGGCCTGTTTGAACAGCGCCACTTTGAATTAAACTAAATGTTAGAGGTGTCAAGAGGATATTTGAGATATTTCAGTCTCCTCTCCGTCACTGTACAGGGTTTCTTTATTGAAAATGTCATGACTTCTGGTTGGATGCCCCTTCACTTTTGCTTCCCTTCCCACATGTCAAAGCCTTTGAGAGGAGCACAAAGATGAGATCACTGAACACATATCATGATGGCAGATCACGATATCACAGATGATCCTGTTTTTTAATCCAGAATTTAGCATACAGCCATATCTTACCTATAGAAATGTAAAGAATGTTGGCTATGCTGTAAAGGTTGAAAAATCTCTTATCTTAAATGATTTTTCCCCCTAAGCAAGCAGCAGAAACTGAAGAGAGACTGTTCGTGCAATGACATTTCACTCTGCCTTCTGAAGTAGTAGCTACCTGTGTGGCTCAGCTGGTTTAATCCTGAAGCCCAGAAGGCTCGGCATGTTGTTGGGAAGGAGGGAGATGGAACTTATAGCACAACTTCAAAACCATCTCTGAACCCAAGACGGAGCTCACAGCACTGTGTTATCGTTTTCATCTGACTGTGTGTGTGTGATGGCTGTTTGTTTGTGTGAAAATGATTCATAACCTTAATCCGAGATGGGAAATGGATTTCATGTTTGTCATCAGTGATAGGATTGTCATATATGATGCATGCTGTAGATAT